TTCTAAAAAAGAAAAAAAAGTCAGGACAAATATATATACATAAATAATAATTTAATCTCATAAAATATGATAATATATTTTAATTTTTAAAAAACTTAATTATCATTAATTTTTAATAAAATAATAAAAATAGTCTTTAATTTCTAAAAAGCATAATAAATTTTTTATTCATAATTTTAGTCCAACAAATGATTAATATAGTTTAAGTATTTATAATTTTTTTTATTTTTTTCAATTAGTAAAGAAAAATAATTTTTTTCATTTACAATTTTAATTTTTTTGCGCTCAGAACTTTAATTTTAAAATTCACAAATTTAATTTAGCAAATAACTAAAGTAGAGTTAGTATTCACAATTTTCTCACACCATTTTTTTTATTTTTTTAAATTAAGGGATGTTTTTGTTATTGCATAAATTTTTTTAATGATAATTAAATTCCTTGAGATTTATAAAGCATTATCTTATTTCATAAGAATAAATTATCATTTTCTCATTTTAGAGGAATTTATTTATTATTTTTTAAAATTATTTTATAAAATATGACAAAAAAAATCCAAAAGGAAAGAGCCTGAACTCCTGAAAATGAAGCATGTCACTCATCATCGAATAATTTAATAGCACAGTTTTGTTAATATGTCAAAAGAAACCAAATTTCATTTGCAAAAATTAAATCTTCTTCGACACAAGAAGGGCCATTCATGTTGGTGTTCTTTTTTGTTCTTTTTTTTAACTAAGCACCCGGAAAAAAGCTGCCGCGAATTGTGTTGATGGAGACGAACTCAAAATTAAAAATTAAAAATTTTGTTATACGTGAGGATTGGCGTTTATTTAATATTTTTCTGAAAAGAAATAGTTAATTGATTGGGAGGAGCAGTGGAAAGTGACGGAGCGATGAAATGCAAGCCAAGGGGACCTTATCCAATGAAAGAGATGAATGGGGACACGTGGCGGGAGAGGGTACAGTGTAGATAAGTAGCCAATGAAGAGTGAGAAAAATGATGACTAATAAAATTAGCAATAATGAATGAGTCAGAATGCACAGACAGGTGTAGCAGATAGAGAGAGAGACAGAGTTACTGGGGAAAAGGAGGAAGAGATTAGCATGGAAGCGGCTACAAATGAAAAGCAGAGCCTGCGGTGTTGATAAAGTTGTGGAAGAAAACGCACACTAAGTTCTTAAGTTTTAAACACCCTTCTCGTGTAGTACCCACTTGGAATATCAAATTATCATTATCCCTTACACTCTCACTTTATTTAAAATTATAAGATATTCTTTTAATTTTTAATATAAAACAAAATTAAAAGTTTTTTTATCCTTAATATAACATAAAATTGCAATAATTAACATTTTTAATTTTATTTCTTATTTATTTATTATTGTTTTAATTCTTAAATAATAATTTATCATTGTTATTAAGCGCGAAGAAGAATAAAAAATAAAAAAATTATTCCTTCCATTCAAAAATGTAAGTAATTTTTAATAGAGTTTCACCTCAATAAATTAATTACCTACTTTTTAAATTAATCTTATTTTTTATATTTATCTTTATTAAATACCTTACAATAAATATAAATCATTATCAATAGAGACACTTTTGAAAAAAGGTAATAATTATATATCAAAGATTAAAAATGTCTTACATTTTTTAACATCCAACTCTTCAAAAAATACCTTATATTTTTGAATGAGGGGGTGCATATTTTTGAATAATTTTAAGAATATACTCCCTCTGTCTCTGTATATAAGGGGTCTTTTAGAATCTTTTTTTATGCATAAATATAATAGATTGTTAGTATATTTTTTAATGAATGGACCATTATACCTTATTAAATTGAAAAAAATATAAATACTCTCATTAATTTACTTTAGAAAAAGATGTTTATTTTTATTTACAATAATTAAAAATAAAATTAAAATTTTGCTATACTTTTAATGAGATAACTAACATTTATTAGTTTGCGCGATTCGATTAAAAATATCTTGATGGAGGGAGCAATTAATATTCCTTAATAAACATAAAATTAGTTAATTTGTCTTATATTGATTTAATTTATTCATACTTTTAATAAGTTAGTTAATGACATTTAAAATGACACATTCTTATTTAATATGATGTCTTAATTAAAAAATGTTATTAAATATGCTCCTCAATCAACTTATTTGACATGCCTTATATTTTTAGACATGGTAGTTAAAAAGAAGTGTCATGTGATATTGAATTGAAAGGAAGGGGTGATGGTTATCACTTGATAGTATTGTAAGCACAAATTGGGAGGCTATGGCCACTCTTCCTCCATCAAAGTGGAAATCAAAACCACCCTCCACGTTTCAAGTGCTTGCTTCTTTGCCTAATATATATCCCTTTGCTTGCTTCCACCTCACCTTATACTACTCTTATATGCTCGTCTCAATCTTCCTTTTTCACCCATATTTTCAATTCTATGTGTTTAAATATATATACCTGTTCATTTAACCTTCTTTTGTCATTGGTATAGAAAATGAGTCCCATGGTCACTTGATGAGTGTTTGAGAGCAACCGTAAACAAATTGGATGAGTGATAAAGGGAAGAGTGCGATGTCAAATCAATCACAAAAAATGAAACAACAAGGAAGGGAGACGAGATGGGATGAGTTGGGAGATGTCAAAAAAGGAGGTGAGGGATTAGATGGAGTGAGTAAGGAGAAGGTGCATCCAATTAAGTACTTAACCGTCTTTGTTAGGTCAAATCCATGAACTGCCTTTTTCTTCATTTCCTTTTGGTTTTCATCCTTTCTTGACACTGACCCAAACCAGCAAACTCCCCCTCTTCCTTTTTTTTCAAACCCCCTTTTATTATCAATTTCTCCTCTCTCTCTCTCTCTCTCTCTCTAAATTGAGAAGAGTTAACAAGGTAAAAACTAAAGAATATAAGACCTATTTTTATCTCTGTTCTCATTTTTATTTTTTTAAAATTATCTTGCAATATAACTTTTTAAACTATTTCTCAAAACAAAAAAAAATCCGTTGGGTTATGTTAATTTAAAAACAATTCTAAAGTTAAAAGTTAGCCAATAATAATAGTTACTGGTGATTTAATGATAGTAATTGATTGCATCTAACAATAATTTTTAATAATTAAATGTAGTGTTGTTTTGAAAATAAAAAAAATGAAAATCGGTCTAAGGTATTTTCCTTTTTTAAAAATAAAAAATGAGAATAATTTTAAAAACATTTAAACCCAAAACACTTACCTAAATGAATTATTTATCTTTTTAAAAATAAAAACAGTTTTTGAAAGTAAAATCAAATAATTTGAGCCTGGTGAAATGAGATTTCCTTTAATTACAAGAAACTAGAGCGAATACTCATGATCTTTTCTTATATAAATACCAACACATTCTTACCCCTTCCATAGAAAAGGGCAGGATGACATTTCCCTCCAAGAAAAGAATAAAATATGTTCAACACATTTTCACCTCTTTATTGTACTATTTTCGTCCCAAATTATAGAATATTTTTGAAAGAATTTTTTAATCTCAAAATATAAAAAAACTTTAAATATATTAATGTTTCATTAAACACACTAATTTTAATATTACCCTTCATTTCTTGATAATTAATTTTCATCTCTTTTCTTTTTAATATATTAAATGATGGGTATTTTTAAAAGTTTATATTTTTATTTTAAAAAGATAAGGTTATTAAGTGTATTTAATGAGATTTATTGATACATAAAATTTTATCTAAAAATATTTTATAATTTCAGATGGAGGGAATATAAGATATAGAACCCACAATCTCTCACTTTTAAAAGGGTGTGGTGTAATTTAAAGATTCAATGCATTAGTTTTTATTGTTATTATTTGGAGTTGAAGAAAATATTAAGTGAATAAACATGATTGTCATTGTTGAGAGTAATGCAAGTTAAACGAATAAAAAAAGATTTAAATTTTTTGCTTTATTATTGGATCAAAATGGTGATCTATAAATGGCAATTAAATAATTTTACAATTCTCATGTTTCAACATCCATCCCGCTTTTTTTGTCTGTTTGTTTTTGGCCAATCCTTCATCCCACTTTTTGTCCCTTGCATGACAAGTCTTCCATGTTAGCGTGTGTGTACAATATTTTTTGGGTATTCCTCTGTTTAATCAATATCGATTCTCTTTTTTTACCCAAACATGGTAAACAAAAATTAGCCTTCCTAAATAATGGCCATTCTGAGGTCAAATGTATCAATGACTGTCTATGTAAACATTCACCAATTCATAGCTTATTAAAAATGACCATTTGTTGCCGCGTTCACCATGAAATTAACTTTTTCGAGTTAAAAATTGCCAACATGCCTAGAAAAATAGAGAAATAAGCCATGTTGCCCCGCAATTAAAGTTAAATTGCAAAAATACATCTCGCTCTTTAATGATCCAAGACTGGAAAGAAACAAATTTCAAATACGAGTAATCATTTAAAAGCACTTAATGGGACAGTATCTCAAGTAATAAATTTGGATATTTGAAATTAAATTCAATTGTTCATTTTATAAATGAAAGCAGTAACAGAGGAAAAGCTGTGATAATGATAAATGAAACCAGGCTGACAACAGTAACAATATCTTGCAGTCATACGGAGATGTAAATTTGGATAACTGTCGGTGAAAATTAGATTCTGAATATGGCTTCAAAATAAAAATAATACTAATTCCATTAATATTTAATTTAAATAAAAATCTTTGAAATGCATAAATAGACCTCTTTCTGAGGTAAAAAAAGAAAAATCATTATCCCGGAGTATGAGCTGGATCCACTCTTTAAGGAGTGACTCAACTTTGAATATAATATTCAAAACAATTTAATAATAATCAATTTTTTTTTAGAAAAAGGATAAACTAGTCGAGAAATTCAGCGGGTGACAAGGACAAGGCAGGGGTGGACTTAATAATCTTTTTGTTATTTTATTTTTATTTATAAATTTTACAAATTATAAATTATAAATTATAAATCTTCCCCCCCCCCCCCTCTCTGTGAAAATCGAATTCCTTTTTCCCCATTTCTTCTTCTCCGATTCCTGCTTGCTTCTCCTCTCAGTGTATGTTCGTTGAATTTGGAACTGAGCGTCGTAGTCTTCATAGCTTCCCCACTTCCTCGCTGAATTCAACCATGTGAAATCACTTATCAGAATAGTTCTTTTTGGTTTCTTGATTTTTCTGTTTGTTGTTCTGCTTCTTTTCGGATCTTTGAAAGGATGAATCTGAGCAGCGGCAAGGGATCTATGTCAACGGTTAGCTCTAGTGCGGTTTCCAAGTCCGGTGACATAGTCTCCGACCAGTTTCCGGCGGGTCTCCGGGTACTGGTTGTGGACGATGATCCCACGTGCCTCATGATACTTGAAAAGATGCTTCGCACTTGCCTCTACGAAGGTGCTTGATGGGTTTCTTGTTCGGTTGAGATTTACTTCTTTGTTTTCCTGTTTTCTCTTTTGGCTCTTTGATTTTGTTTTGCCGATTCCACTGCTGAATTTATTACAAAAAGAAGTAGGACGACTAATTTTTGTTTTGCTCAACGTTCTTGTGCCAAAAGATGCTCGTTGGCGATCTTTTTCTTGCGTGTTGTTTCCGATTTTTAACTTCAACTCTGATTTCATGAACGAGTATGACACCACCCCGATTCATTATTTTTGAGATTCTTGTTGCCATCTTTCTATTGAAGTTTGCTTTTTTGAAGCTTTTGGCTTCGTTTTCTTGTGTTTTGTGTGCTATTCCTCTGCATCTTGAGATTTCAGATTTGTGTATTTCTGGGGGCTTTCGGAATTTTGGATGACAGACATATGCCGGATTTGTGTTTATTTTCTTCGTTTATTATTTTTTTTAAGCGTTGTGTTTTGAGGAGTAATATTGTGTTTGCCTTTTGAGTTCATTTCAGTTACGAAATGCAATCGAGCAGAGATTGCGCTGTCACTTCTTAGAGAGAACAAAAATGGGTTCGACATTGTTATAAGCGATGTTCATATGCCAGACATGGATGGCTTCAAACTCTTAGAGCACATTGGGTTAGAGATGGACCTTCCCGTTATTAGTAAGTATCTGCTGGGATCAGATAAGATCCGAGAACTGAATACATTGATATCGATACTCAGCTGCTCACATTAACTTCTTGTGTATTATATTTGCAGTGATGTCTGCAGATGATGGAAAGAACGTTGTTATGAAAGGCGTGACTCACGGTGCTTGTGATTACCTTATAAAACCTGTGCGCATCGAGGCTCTAAAGAATATATGGCAGCATGTGATTCGGAAGAGAAAGAATGAATGGAAGGATTTGGAGCAGTCAGGCAGTGCAGAAGAAGGAGATCAGAAACAAAAGCCAACTGATGAGGCGGATTACTCATCCTCTGCAAACGAAGGCAATTGGAGAAATACAAAGAAGAGGAGGGATGAGGATGAAGACGCCGAAGAGAGGGATGACTCATCCACGTTGAAGAAGCCACGAGTTGTTTGGTCAGTTGAGCTCCATCAACAGTTTGTGGCTGCTGTAAATCAGCTAGGAATTGATAGTATGCACTCTTCACCTATATCCTTGAATGGATTTGTTCATGCTCTTCCGTCTTTTCTGCCTTTCCTCGTAAACCCATCCGTCATTACAAATCAATGCTTCTGTATTTCTGGTGCATGATCCTTGGGCTCTACATGTCTATCGCTGAATTGTTAGACAAGAATCATGACTTAAGAAACTGTGAAAGCCCTAGCGCCAATATTTTTACTGCTTGAGTTGTCGGTATTCAATGGAAATATGTCGTGGCATCATCCCACCTATGCCTTTTAGATCCCTTACTAATAATTAGATCAGTCTTTTTTTTTTTTATTAGTCAGTATTTCTATGTAACTAAGAGTCTAAGATCCAATTTGAGTGTATCACTAGAAGTTCCCTTTATTTACAAGAAAGTTTTTCTTTCTCAGAACATTTTCTTGAACTATCCATGACAAGCTATGGACCTCTCTTGATGCTTGAATTTTCAGATTTATAATACATACACACATACTTACGTTTAACAAATTTGCTAAACATACAGAGGCTGTTCCTAAAAAAATTCTGGAACTGATGAATGTCCCTGGGCTCACCAGAGAAAATGTTGCAAGCCACCTCCAGGTATGGAAGTTTCGTGCCGTTTACAGAGGAATTAAGGATTTAATTTCTGACCACTACTCAATTTCTGAGAGCTAACTATTTTGTCCTTGCCTGGTTTTGGGTACAGAAATACCGCTTGTATCTTCGAAGGCTGAGTGGTGTTTCTCAACATCAGGGTAACTTGAGTAACTCTTTCATCAGCTCACAAGAGGCAACTTTTGGGGCAATTTCTTCACTCAATGGAACGGATCTTCAAACTCTTGCTGCTGCAGGTCAGCTTCCACCACAAAGTCTAGCAACATTTCAAGCAGCAGGATTAGGTAGATCAACTGCAAAAACTGCTATGCCTATGCCCCTAGTTGATCAAAGGAACCTTTTCAGTTTTGAAAACCCAAGATTAAGATTTGGAGAAGGGCAACAGCAATATGGGAGCAGTAGCAAACCGATGAACTTACTTCACGGTATCCCTACCAATATGGAGCCAAAGCAGCTGGCTTCTTTGCACCAATCTAATCAGTCCCTAGGGAGCTTGAATATGCGAGTCAATGCTTCTCCTTCCCAGAGCAGCCCCTTATTAATGCAGATGCCTCAATCACAACCAAGAGGTCATGTACTTAGTGAACATACTTTGTCTCATGTTCCCAGGCTCCCGACATCTATGGGGCAGTCTCCCGTATTGAATGGATCTCCCAGTAGTGTACTGGGAAGAAATGGTATTCCTGATAATATCAGAGGAGTTTCATATAATCCAGTTCCCCAAACCTCTTCAATGTTGAACTTTCCCCTGAACCAAACCACAGAAATGCCTGCAAGTAGTTTTCCTCTTGGAAGCGCTCCAGGTATGCCAAGTATCACATCAAAAGGAATATACCAAGATGGAGTTGCTTCAGGAATGAAAGGATCTTCTGGATTTGCTCCAAGTTATGATATCTTTAATGAACTGCACCAGCACAAGTCCCATGAATGGGAGGTACAAAACATGAGCCAGAGCCAGACATATGAGGCCTCTCAGCATGCAAATCCTTTGCAAGGCAACGTTGATGTCCCAACATCAGTTCTAGTCCATCAGGGTTTCTCTTCCAACCAACAGATTGGACAGAATAGAGATGCTGCTTCAGTTGGAAAAGCCATGTTCTCCCTGGGGGAAAGCATGGAGTCAGGCAATTTCCAGAATATTGGTCAACATCAGGGTTTCCAAAATCCGCTTCTTGCCAACAATTCTGTAAGGGTTAAGGCTGAAAGAACTCCTGATGCTAACTCTCAGACAAACCTCTTCCCAGAACACTATGGGCAGGAGGATCTGATGAGTGCACTTCTGAGACAGGTTGGTTGACATGGTTCTTGCCAGCCTCTTCTAATCCCTTTTTGTTGATGCGCTTCAATGCAGTTTTTGTTACACATGTATCAAAAGTCATGTATTTCTTGCAGCAAGAAGGCATTGGACCTACAGAGAATGAGTTTGATTTCGATGGATATTCCATGGACAACATCCCTGTCTAGAGCAGATGCTGCCAGTTCTCTTTCAGATTGCAGTTGTCAATGTAAATAGTGTCTGTTACATATGGACTTCATTACTCTGCAACTAGTTAGTTCAGATCTGAGTTTAGATTGTCCGAGGAACAGAATCTGGTCGTATCACAAATTCGAACTTCTGGGAGTAGCATACTATCACGGTTTAGTCTGCATGCTCAGAATTGTTTGTTGTGATGCATCAACTACATGTATGCAAAAGGCATGCATATCCAATTTTTGACTGGATGTGATAGGAAAATTCCTAGCAAGCTTCTAATTTGAGGTTGTTCATGGAAATATGTTTGGTTTAAGCCGGGGATTCCGAAAGGTTTTAAACACATGCAGACTCGTAGGAGCAGTTCTAACATGAATAACAATCTATGTTGATCTTGCCCTTTGTTTCGCTCTCCACTTTATTCTCTTCAATTGAAGCAAATGAATGCTGTAAGAATGTAAATATCTCATTTGGTTGTTCAAGACATTCGTCCTGGCTATTCTTTCAAGGTTGTCTCTGTACTTAGATATTGCTTTTGATTGATAAAGCTTTTGGTGATTTGCCCTTTTCTTTGCATAATTATTATGTCATGCAGTGCATGTACTTGAACATGATTAAACATCCAGGTGGTATCTATCATATATGGTCGTCGCCATGCAAGATAGTGATTATGGGGCTGGCTATGCGGTGCACTCATTTCCTCTTTCCCATTCTACGAGAAACTTAGATCTTCGAGAATAGACTTCGACATTATATATGTGTGTATTTTTTTTAGAGTTGAATCTGTGTGACAATTAGTCTATGCAGCTTTTGTTCTCTGTTCTTGGTTTCACGCAGTGCATTGGATGGACGTTTTGAGGTTGAGGAATATATTCCTTGTCTTTTTGGTCGGAATATTCTTGTGGTTACCTTCAACGTAAGAATATATAGATAATGGGATTGATAAAGAACTTGTCAAAGGCATTTACACTTTAGTAGTGGTGCCAACGTCACGAGGCACGTGTATAAAAAGGGGGAGCGAGGGACTGTCCTCGGAATTGATGCCCCCTTAAATTATTAATCTAACTTGAAAATTGAGCTCCCTTTCCATGCAGCGCTCTTTTATTTATTTGATTTATATCGAATATTTAACTCTCCACTTTCACTCATCATTTTATCAGTTGCTTGTCAATTTTATTGGATAAGCTATATTTTAATTCTAGATTGATATTGATTCTTGAATGCTAGACATTCATTAATTTGAAATTCAATTAATTAAACGTGACTGTGAATAGTAATAGTTATTGATTATTGAATCCATACCTCTAGGAGTTGGAGAATCATTGTTCTCAGGCCGAAGTAAATTTTATTGCTTGTGACAAAATACAAACTGGGAAATCAGTGAGTTCTAGCAGGCCTCTTAACTAATTCTTTATCTATCACTTCTTAAAAATGACTGATGCAAAAAGAACGATTAGGGGAAAAAAGGTTTCAATTTGATGCGTTTATTCCTTACCATAATAATTGGAGGGACAATCATTTTTGTTTGATTTTAAAATGGGTTAAGGTGTATTTTTATTTTTGAACTATTTTTCAAGGAACACTCAATATTTTAAATTATTTATTATAGCAATTTCGCCTTTAAAGTAATTAAAATATGTTTGTTTTTAATGTTAAATACCTCAATGTTGATCATTGAAAATGTTTAATAGGACTTAAGTTTGACAAAAATGCCACTTGTTATGCCAAATGGATTCAAATTAAGATATATTTTTATTATGTTTTTAATTATTTTAGAGATAAAATTGCTATGAAGCAAGTTTAGAATATTGGGAGTTTTTTTAGAGAATAGTTTAAGAGTTAAAAATGAAACTTAATCCTTTCAGAATTTAGGAGTTTTTAAAAGGACAAAAAAAAAAAAAAACGTATGAGTCCAAGTTGGCTTCCCATGGTTCACCCTAACTCATTTTTGTATTTTTTAATATTTTTGGGACAAACAATTAAATATTATGTTCCCCCACTTAAAATGTAATAAATCTTTACCCCTCAATCCAACTATCACTATTAGGTTACTGCTAAGATATTTTTAATGAAAATAACAACTATTGTCCCAAAAAAAAAATATAGACAACAAAAAAGAACTAACAATGTCAATGGAAAATTTTAAAAGCAAATTCAAGTACTACACATTGTCATTCCATTATAATTCCTTCCAAAAGAGCAAAAACGCTGGCATCATTTCACTTATAATAGGAAAATTAAAATTATTTATACCCGTGAAGTGTTTAAATGTAAATCTGGCCGATCATCAAATCAGCATTAGTCAGAGAACGGTAGTAAAATGGCATTAATCATTACAGAAACGAATCAAGATAAGAGAAAGAAAAGCACAATTAAACTACAGAAGACAGGAAGAACATAATATACTTCTATCGCGTGTCTGACACAAGTCTACATTCTTCTGAACTATGCTCAGCAAAGAATCATACCAACAATCTTTATTAAAAAAAAAAAAAAAGAATCATACCAACAGAATTGAATTAGATATACAGCATGAATGTTACGACAACAACAGCAAGAGATGAACTTCTCTACTGAAACTGCATCAAGATGATGAACAGTGATAGTGATAGTGTTAAGAACAAAGAAAACTCCTTCTTGAAACCACTGCTTGGAAATACAGAAGGAAGAGAGCATTCCTCCCCATTGAAGAAGACTTTAGTGGGAAACCCATCTCCACCAACCACATTGATTCCAGGAGTAGATTTCTTTGTAAAAGAGATTACTGACTGTTGTTTTCCAGGAATCCTAGGATCCTCCTTAGGGTCATCTCCATCTGTTTCTGCCAGAAGGTAGTTATTTTCTGCAGGACCCTGCATCATTATAGTGTTACTCACTCCCTCCAAGGCAGTTGCATTGAACGAGTACATCTTCTCAAAACCTGAAGCTGCTTTGTTCATTTCCACCGCAGCAAACCAATCTGCAAAAGCAGTCTCACCCCAGTTGAACAGTGTGATCCTTGCGCTCCAACCTTTAGAGTAATCTGTGAGCACATGCCAATTGATGGTCACTCCACAGTTATCACCACAAGGCATTGGGTTTGGCACTGTGAAATGCTTCAGATCAGCCCAAGAAACAGCCAAGGCACTCCGATTCTCAAATGGAACTAGAAGTGCCTCTGCTGGAAGCAACATAGCTGGTGTATTTGTACTACATGTTCTTCCTGTGTTGCCCGTGCATCCACATGCACATGTCTGGCAAGGAATGACAGATTCATTGTAATAAGCAGAAAACGAGACACAGCATTTTCTTGCAGTCCCATTGTCCTTTGTTATATTGCACACAACCTGCCAGCTTGCAATTGCAGATTTGTTGGAAGGTAAGCCTGTGGGATCTGGGTTTTCGCTTGGACTCACACGAATTGGAGGACCACATTTGTAGTCAGGATTGAGTGTGCCACTTATCTTCCAGTTCTGTGGTGGAGTGAGGACGGAGCGGTTAAGGTCTGGTGGCATCTTGTAGACCTGCATTTGGAACCTTGAAGATGACTTACTTGGGTCCATGGATGGAGGCAAGATAGTTCCATTCCTGCAGCAAAATGGGATTTTTCCAAGGTCAGAATCATTGAACCTTGTGGGAGGGAGATCAACTATCGTTGGACTTTTTTCACAACTCAACACATTGGAAAAGTCAAGTTCTTGGTAGTGTCCACCTTGTGAGCCAAAGATACAATCAGAAGTGTCCACAACAGAAGGATAAGCACCTTTCATTGCATAGATAAATTCTTGCCTCATCCAGTCCCAGCTTAATCTCCAGTTATCAAGACGTCCAAGAGGATTATGGTTTGAGATTGTAACCTCAGCCCAGTAATTGGATTCATAAGTACTGGTCACATCATACATAATTGAAAGATCACCATTCTGGCGAGGTAAAAGCTCTTGGTCTGTGGTGATGCTTGTTTTGAAATTGGAATCTCTAGTGCAACAGACATGAGTCTCATTCCCTGAAAACCAAACACATGTTCTTCAACACTCAGTCCACAGCCTAGCATACTTTTTTCAAAACTTTGCAATTACAGATGATTACTTCTACAGCTCTACAATATTAGCCAAAATGTCTTAGAATTAACTATTTACAATTCAATATTATGAGATAAATTTGGGGAACTATAGGCCCTGGATATAAGTAAGCTAGAAACAAAGAAAAAGATATCTGGTTTCTACTTCTATACGTGTCAAACTCTAAAGCTCCGATTTTGAAGCATAAGTCCTTCATCGCTATCATCCAATTTTGCAAACAGCGATCGTATTCTTTTCAAGAACAGGAGGGTCTAGGCTCTAAAAGACAAAACAGAGCTATACAAGGATTTTCATCTCAAGTCAAAAAGGGAGCCGAAAGTGCAGAGAACCTCAAATAAAGGCGCATTAGAATAGTATATGAGAATAAAGTCCAACGAAGCAAAAATAGATGATACCTTGGCCAGTGGACTTGGGACAAACAAACCCATCATTGGCGAGAGTGATGTTCGACGGCAGCGGCACCGTCGGCGGGGCCACACCGTACTGTGTCCCCACTAAGTTGACCTGAATTTTCATCTGCGTCAAGTCCCCGGCAGTCTCCGCCGCCGTCTTGAGGTCGGTCGTGGGGAACCCCGCAAGAACAGTGCCGTTTCCGACGTTGGCAGGTAAGCTGGTGCCATCAGCAAGCACTGCGTTCGATGCAGAGACCAAATATTCGTCGTGCTGAAACCCCACAAAAACCTTCCAGGACTTAAGCTCGTCGAGCCCATTGTTTAGCACCGTGAGAGTAGACTCGAACCGGTGCGGCTGCTCGCCGGAATCGGAGACGTTGGGAGGCAGCTCTCTTCCGCCGGTGTAGACGTAGGACAAGAATATTCCGTTGCAGGAATCGGCGGACTGAGCCAAAGAAATGGAAGGCGTTATGATGAAGAAGATGATAAAGACGGCGACTATGAAGACGATGCAGGGAAAACGGAAGTGTGAAGCCATGTATAGTTGGGGTTTGAAAATCGAAATTTGAAGAAGAGAGAAGCTATGGTGCTGAGAAACGGGAAGATGATAAACTAATTAATGTAAGATTGATTGGTTTTAGGCTTTTGTTGAGAGGTCGTCTTTTGAGTGATTCAAAATGTGGTCTCCTGAAACGTTCCATGGGATTGCATGAAATGAAAGGGTCTTCTTCAACAGCTCTCTACCTGCTTTAATTTGAATTGGTCAATATCCAGGGACGCAGCTCTTGACCTTGTTTGTGTACTTGTTCTTTGTCCTTTTCAAATTTCAATTGCCATTTGCCGATGACGTCGAGAATGCACTATCCAATTTAATGCCCATGTTTTAAATTCAGTCCTTTTCTTTTGCAATTATTTGATATTTTCTATAATAATATTAAAGTTAAGCATTATATGGGGAGTTATAATAGTTTTTTTTTTAATTTAAATATAGTCATAATCTAATTGACATGTGTTCATCTTTTTTGTTTTTGCCCAACATTGACGTGTTCATCTTAATTCTTACTGAAATGAGTTATAATCGCTTAAATACTTCATAAGTTTGATGCAATATACAATTTTCAAAAAATTATCTTATTTATGTTTTGATTCAACTCGAATCCATATTAATCATAATTAAATATGTCTTTGAATAACAAGTGATAATATCCTTTTCATTATATTCAGCTACTATAGGTAAATTTAGCCTTTTATTTTTTTTTTAAATTTATTTATGAATAACATGATCTGTCAAAGTTTCCATGTTATATGTGAATATATAAATTCTCTAAAGTTCATTTGTTAATATAAATGGAAGGTTAAGGTTCAAACATGTCTTCTAATGAATAAACTCGTGAATTGAATTTGTCCAAATAATATTTTTTAAAACAGTAGTAATGCTTAGGCAAGCTTAATAAATCAAACGGAGAAAAATAGCACTAGCTGTGAGGAAAATTTGCGGAAGCAACATTGTTTTAGGAGAAAATATCAGCTAGGCTATTATAGACCATGAACTAATGCTCATATAGTCATATAGTCTCGTGTTCACCAATACAAATGAAGTAAAATAGAATTCACATGGACCGACAAACTCTGGCTTCTTAGTCTCAGCATGAGTTTGGAAATAATATTATGGAGGTAGGTGTGAGCTTGGTTACCCTACTTCATGTGGTATTCGATTTTTTCCCCGAGAAAGCCCATGTTGGGTTTGGATTGGACTCTGTAGGCCCAAAAACATAACGGGATTAGACGATTTAAGGCCCAATGAATTCCAGAGCATTATATGAGGCCCATTGTCTTGTCCTTGGAATGAAATTGCTGAAACGCAGGGTGTGGAAAGTGAGGAGAACGAGGATGGATTGGAATAATCATTTTTACTAGATATCCGACTAAGTGATGAAGATATTCATATATACAAACCTTTAATTATGGACCATGTAGTTGGTAATTTTATAATTGGATTTAATTTGATGATGAATTTATAATATTATGGTTATGGATATACACCCTGCCTGATAGTACAAGCCATCCAGAGCATAAATATTTTGATTTAATTAAAGCTAGTCTGACCACAATCAAACTATGTATTTGTATTTATAGAATAAAATAACATGGCATATCTGTGTTTTAAGGAGATTGAAAAATAGCATATATGAAACAATAGCAAGTTGCCATATAATATTTGTATGTTGGGGGTATGGATGTATATAAATATGTAGTTATTGAAATTAACAAGTAGGTGATGAGTGTTCACACTCACATAAACGCCCCACGTTGTCATTCAAGTGCCTCCATCTCCCACCGTCCCTCTCTCTTCTTTCACTTTTATCCCAAAAAGAGTATTTCACGGCTACTTGGATTAATTGTGTTAAGAGTTGATCCAGCTTAATTCGAAATCTTATTGGAGTTTGAGTCCTTGACACACACACACAACAGCAATTAAATTATCGATGTAAAGTGTGTTTCTTAAAAAAGATATCTGCAACGTGCCGATTGAGTTAGTTTGAATTGAAAGGGTAAGCCTTGATTACCATTTTCTAATAGTATTATTGTAAATATATATACCCACAGACTCAACATTATTTCATGTTTTGAATATTAATAAATGGGTTAAAGAATGAAAATGTTTTGAAATCTTTTTTACAAAAAGTGCTTGTTAATGTAATTGTTTTTTGGATGTTGCCTTGAAAGTTTTAAAATTAGAGCAATATTACCTTCGCGTTGACCCTAAAAAATGTTACTAGTTAAATAATATGTAACAAGTTTTTTTATGCTAAGTGGCACTTCCATGTGAATTAGGGGTGAGTTTTTCTTCTTTGTTTTTTTTACTCCACTGCCTCTCTACTGTAAATTTGAGCCGTTCAAATTAAATTTGTATTTTCAAAAATTATTAAATTTAAATTATTAAATTTAATTTAATAATTCATATCTATATTAAATTTTTCTTTTCTCTCCTTTGCAAAGGAGAAAATCCAACTCTAAACATACCCAATCACCGATCACCTCCTCGCTTTCTAAGTCTTTATCGGCACTAACAACTACTACTCCACCAACACCAGTGTTAGTCATCACCTCCATCAAGAGCTTCCCCAGCTCTTGCAGCTTCTTTCTAGGGTTGGCTTGGTTTGATTTGCAGTGCCATTTAGACTTGCCATTGCCAACACTCGTGGCTCCATTTGGGAATGAAGATTCATGCTTTGGAACAGAGCAGACGACTTAAATGACCAATTTGAATGTGGAAATTGATAGATCAGAAAAGAAGTGAACCACAGAGCTCAAACCATAGTAAAGAAGGTGAAGGACTAATGAGCGGGATTTGGGTGTTCCTAGCTCTAAAAGTTAACAGTCATGGAGAGGGGATTGAAGAGAGGGAGAAGGGATTGAGCAAAACCAAACAGCAACAAAATCGTGTCCAATTCATAATCTAAATCACTAGAAAATAAAAACCAAATAAGCATAAAAAAAAAATCAAACACAACATCAAGATTTATAAAATGGGGTCATTACAATCAATCGAAAAATCAGACTCATTGCAACCAAAATCATTATAACCAAAACATCTATTCTAATCATATGGGGCCACGTGTGATTCCCTTGGTCAAAGAAGCTAATACAACGGTCAACATTTTTTTGAGGTTAATGTTGGGGCGACATTTCTCTTATTTTAAAAATTCTAGAATGACATTATTTCAAAAAAATTTTAATATGCCATCCCATGTGATATAAGTGCAGTGTTCCAAATATCTTATTTTGGAGTTTGCAACATGAGAAACAGCTGGACGTGGGAATAGTATAAAGTAGCTATAGCGTTGATAGTATATGTTCAGATGAATTATTAGTGATAGATGGCACAATAGTAATAATCGTCATGAGAAACAAAGAAACGAAAATCTCTGCATATATAATGATTAGTTGGCTATGGTGGAACGCACATGCTCGTGTGTGTGGCCTTTCACACTTGGGGTGGAACCACATGTATCTTATTATAAATGTGAGGTACTAGATTAGGATGGATTTTATTTTCAAAATCCTTTTCAAGAACAATTATACTTTCCATAACGAACCACTATAGGTTCTATATTTTATTTTAATTAAAGAAAACAATAACCCAAAATATATAAAAGCAAAATTAAAGTGGGGTAGAACAGGATACTGGCCTCTGGATTTGACACAGAGCCCAACCAAGTTCTTTAGGGAAATATAATATCAATATCAATATAAAATAAAAAAGATTTATAAATATTATTGTTTATAAACTACCAACGGGGAAACAGAGTGCCTCAGTTTTTCTAGATTTTGTAAAATAATGTGAGCACATGTGAAGTGAAAAATGTATCAAAAGTAGAGTGCACCTCGTTGTTGGAAGAACTATTCCAAATTGTGAGATGAATCACAATATTCTTCTTCTTCTTCTTTGTTTGTTTTTTTTTGGCCCACGCAAGCAGCCATGAATGGGCCTAGGCTCTGAAAACACATGCATTTATGTTTATATTTTGGGAGAATGATGACTAAGATCTCATAAAAGATTTAATGTTAAATCACAATCTCCTCGTAATTGAAATTCTCAAATTCAATATTTATCTATATATTTCAGCAGTGAAAATATTTTAAAAATATCTTGATTTGGTGTTCATATTTATATAACTATTAAAGGTGCCATGAGAAGTAGAGTGATTTCGGTTTCAAATTTCAACCCTTCTCTAACTAACAATTTAATTAGAAAAGATCTATCCTTTGCTCTCAATATTTCAGAGGAGGTAATTTCTATTATTGATTAAGGGTCTATTTGTTTAAGATTAAAAAATAAGTAATTTTTAGGTAATTTATAGATTTTATAAAAAGAGATTTATTTTATATAAATTTTATATAAAGTGGATATTATTTTATGTTTGGTTACAATAATAAAATAGTTAGTTATTTTTAAATTTTATAATATCTTTCTTGATTTTTATTTTATAAAAATAATTTATTATTATATTATTTTAAAATTTTGTAATATCTTTGCATATCTTTTTTTTATATTTTAATTATTTTTAAAAGTTTAGACAAACATAATGAAAACTCATAAAATAAATTTTTTAAAAAATAAGTGATTTTTTTATGAAATAAGTTAAAATAAATAGGCCTAACCATCACCTTGTATTTATAAAAAAAAATATTCATACACACACTATATTATCCCAAAGACTAAGACGTCTATATTCAAACATGCCAACTTTGATTCAATATCTAAGGCAGAAAGTGGGGGAAAACCTACTTTAATTGAGACATTTTATTAAAAGGTTAAAAGTCATTTTTGTCCATAAACCGTATACAAAAGTTTACAAATGAATTTAAATTCAACTTGGGGTCAATTTTATTCATTAACCTCATAATTTTACTTCCTCCATGCCCCTGACGTTAATTATCCATTAGCGAGGCCGACATGAATTTTTTAAATATTTTTTAATAATAAAATATAATAGTGCAACACTTTATATTTTTTATTATATTTTTGTAGGTTAAGGGTCTTAAATGTCTCTCAACTAAGCGAAAAGGATCAAAATCACCCCTAAAATCAAGAACAGGTCATTTATATCCCTCAACTGTTGAGATTTTCAATTCCATTAATACTACCTATTGTGTTAATTTTCACCATTAATAAGTCCCACATTTAATTTTTTTTAATATTTTTAGTGGGTACCATCATTTTTTAATATTTTTATTA